GCATTGCCCTAGCTGCACAGGGCCGACTCTTTGACACCTGGGTAAATATTTCATATTGTCCAGAAGAAAAACTGGATTTTCAAAGAGTCTCTTAATGTTTTACGCAGAAAAAGATGAGGGTAAAGGACCTATAGTTGACTGATAGCTCATCGCTAGTTGTGTGGCAGATGTCTTACGTGAGAGTGTTTACCTCACCATAAAATGCTGTCAAATGCATACTTACAGCATACAAGTAATTTAGAGATGCATGTGCATTTATTCTCAGAAATTCCAGCAAAACCGACAGACTTTCAAGCTAAATCATGGGGGGGAAAAAACCACAGAGTCAGGATTCATCATCCTTTATCATATGTTCAATGAAATATTTAAACTCTCAGTTGAGTCTGATATATAATTGATCCCCAGATGAAACTTTTTTTTCCCGTTGACATTTCTAACTGTAGTAATTGGCTTTTTAATTTCCAGAATTAAATTACTGACTCATCGGATGATTCTTCTCTATTTTGATGATATTCGTCTAGTGTGGAGCAACTTCTCACCATCTGAATTCAACTGAAGGACAATGAACCTTCATTGTCATTGATCATGCAGTGAACCAGCTAGACTGTGACACATAGCCCCCTCCCTCATCTCGCCATTAATCTCTCTCCATAGTCCATCTGAACCTCATCTCATGGGGGCTGCAATGCAGTTACCTCCAGGGGTAACTCAGAGTCATCAGTACTGAACAGCGAGTATCACGGCCATGGTTGGGCAATGGTTGGGCAATGGGGCGGCGCAGTGGCACAGTGGTTAGTGCTGCTGCCTCACAGCAAGAAGGTCCCCAGTTTGGTCCTCGTAGGACCTTTCTGTGTGGAGTTCACGTGCTCTCCTTGTGTTCGTGTGGATTTCTGCCGGAGGCTCCAGTTTCCTCCCACGGTCCAAAAGCGTGCAGGGTAGGTTCATTGGCAACTCTAAGTTGGCCCTGTGGTGTGTTGGTGGCTGTCCAGAGATGGTATCTGCCAGCACCCATTGTTCCCAGAATGGGCTCCGCCCCCCCCCCCCTGCAACCCCAGTTGTGATTTAGCTGTTATGGGGTTGGAAGGATGGTTAGGCAATGGAGACATGCTGAATGAGCTCCGACCAACACAAGGAAAACATGACAACTCCAAGGATGGGAGAAGGTTTGAACACCCAGCCCTGGTGATGCAAGGTGACGACTTTGCTCACAAAGTCTCAGATGTCACTATAAATCACCAGCTGGCCCACAGGTTCATCCTGCTGCTGTTTTACACTGGGCTGCACTAAGTCTTTCTTTCACCAGGTTATTATTAATTCTTCACTTCATTAGTTATTCTCTACCTTTTTTTTTCGCATAAGAAGCAGTAAGAATGAGAGCCAATTTGGTGAAGCGGCATCCAAGTACAGCAAGACCGAGTCAAGTTGGATGACTGGATGTCACCAGAGGGCAGCAGCCAGCCCTGATGGGAGAGACCAGTAGGTGGCGCTCTTTTGCCTCCCTGGGGTAGGGAAAGACCTTTAGGATGAACAAAGGGGTCAAAAAAGTAGCAGTTTAATGGGGGGCAACCTGTCAGAAGGCGGGACGTGGCGAGACGGACTGATTGGTCGACTGGAGCGGGACAGCGGTGATGAGTCATCTCCCGGCAACCTCTCAACGGAGGGCTGTGAGGGAAGGCCAGGTGGGGGGGCACGTCTTCGCTGTCTTCGAGTCAGTTGCCAGGCAACCGCTGTACGGGCTTATTGAAGCTAAAAGGGTTCGTAGAAATACATTGAGGGAGACCAGAGAACAACTGTTAGTTTTTACCGTAATATTAAATGTCACTGAACTGAGAAAATAAAAAGTACTCAGCAGTTTCCCAAACCATGTGGGGATTTTAATCTGAAAACTAATAGTTCCACTGATTTACCTTTTACACCACACAAGGCTCTATAACAGCCTAAATGATATTACTAATATTTACAAACGAAAATGCTGAGATTCAGCACAACCATGAGATAGGACAGCTGTAATGGCTGCAGTAGTACACTGTTTTCCCCCTAACCTATGAAAACAGGGACATCGGGGGGGGGATTGGATACCCTGCCAGACACAGGGGGCCCTGCGCTAGACAGAGGCCCTTGAATGTGTAATATCGCATGGAAAATTTGACAGGGAGGGGGCAAGGTGACACTTTGTCAGAAAGCCTAGAATTTCTAGGTCCGTTCCAGTGTGAAATGCACCTGTTAGATCTCTTTGCTTATCAGAAGTGTTTTCCCTGAAAGTAAGCTGATAATACACATTTTGTAGTTAAAATTATACATAATACCTCAATTCTCTTAAAAATAAAGCATTGTAAAGGTTTCAAATTCTGAATGAATGAAGTTCTTGTATTTTTAAATAGATCTAGATAAAGTTAACCAGTTAGCAGATTGTGATAGCTAAAAACAAATTTTCCACTTAATTAGACAAAATTATTTTAATGTTTTTTTTTACAAGAGGACAAATATAATTAAAAGCAGAAATACAATACTGAATTGTCGATTCTCCCTTCTCTCAAACTGCCAAACCAGCAGCATATACCGACTGCAGTTAATGACATTTAATTACGTAGGTAAATGATTTATTTAAATTTGTCAATCAGAGCAGAAAAAGGTCGTTGCCTTTGGGGTGAAGCTGTAGTCAAACTGATATAAAGGTGCCTACGGTGACTCAGTAAGCACCGGTAATGACCAATTTTCTCAATACCACCAGCACACGTAATTGTCATATTACGGACCAGCATACACACTGTTACTGTACACAGGTAGCCTACAGGCCTATACATCGCTGTATGGTAAAAGGTGCGTTTCAGCACAACAGTGAAGAGCATGTTTATATTACCCGACTATCTTGTTGCTCTAAAATATACTGACTGTAGTGTTTATTTTTAGCTGAAATATACTATTATTCGCATATAATTTCCTTAGGCCAAAACGGTGTTATATTGAAAGGATTAGATATCCAGTCAAATTTCAGATATCCAGCCATTGTGCTACTTACTTTCAATTAGTAATGCGGAGATGAGCTCGCCCCGAAACCCGTTTGCGATATATGGTTTTCATTTAACCAGCGCACTGGTTGGGAAATCAGGCTTTGTGCAGCGCGTGCAGGTACGCCCGTGCCTCGCTGCTTCGCACTGAGCGAATGATAATCTCATGGTCAAATGGTCTGTGAACAGAATTTATTTGCAGAAGCACAACAGCTCAGTGAAGTAGGATTATTCTGATTTAGCGACATGGGGTCTTAAATATTAAGTTTAGACTTCAAAAAAATAAAAGCACCTAAAAAAAATACATGGATATTTTGCATTAGGACAGCAATTCTGACAATGCACATATTAAAATACTTTGAAACTTCTAATAAATTAGATTTATTAGAAGTTTGCACACACCTTCGGTTCATTTTTAAATCACCCAGTCAACACTGAAATCGAAAGTTTAATGCTTGTGGAAGTACTTACACCTGTATGCATAAATAAGGGAATTACCCAATATCGTTGGCATTACTGCGCAGATATACAGCGTTCGGCGTCTCGAGGGCATTTGCAGTGATAAATGAACCTTCCATTTGCCCACATCCCCTACGCACCTCTAGCGCCTCCGGAATAAACCACGTAAAGGCGAATATGAAGCCACTGCAGGAGCGGGGGGGTGCAGGGGGGGGGGACTGCGCTCGGCAGGCAGGGAGCGAGCGATTAAGAGGGACGTGCGCGATGAGTCCCCGCACTCGCAGGCGGCCGTGCGGCAATGACGGTGTAGAACCCGCAGACCTCGGCGCGGCCTTCCCTATGGACTGCCTGTGCGCTTTCTTCTGTAGCAAAGTAGGTGCATGGGATCCCACTCCAGCCTATCAGTGAAGCAGACTACAGAAGCGGAGAAGGAGAGAGGTTGAGTCCTCTGAGGTCCGTGGATGGAGCGCATGAACTGGGATTGCTGCAACTTTTCTTGTAGCTCACCTGTGACTTTGAATAGCAGAGATTATTTTCACTCGAAGTTGCTATATGGCAGAAACTAGATGAACGCCGATATTGTTGCACTTTAACTGGTAAGTGTTTTTCAAATGCGTGCTTTCTACTCCCGCTTATATTCACTGCCTGCTTCGCTACTTTTGCCACTCGGAGAAAGCTGTGATGAGACCAGTAGCCTATCGTAAGGGATCGCGTAGCTAGAAGCTGATTCTGCACTGCAGTTTGACTTTATCCAGATAGACCAAAAATGAGATAATTACATGTCAGAAATAAACTTTTATTCCAGACCAACGTACCTTCTTTCTTTATAGACGTGTTGTGTTTTTTTTTTCTCAGTTTAATATGTCAGTTACATTATTTATTATAACACGAACAGTAACACAGACCTTGGAAACAAATATCTCTTAAAGATGAGCTGAATTTGTTTATTTTGCATGTGATTTCTGTTAAAGGGCAGATATGAAACTGGGCTGTCGCGATCCTTTAACGCGCCTCGCAGCATCACGGTTCAGACCGCAAGATGGCGCTGTCACAGAGATTATGTCAATCGTGACATTGTAAGATGAATGATGATTATTTTGCTTGTTGCCGTCTTGAAGTTGCTTTCGGCTTTGTGCTCGAAATGCGCTGGTAGATAATTTTTTGAGAGCTCATTATATTAACTGGAAAAGGACTTTGCTTATAAGTGAATATAGATTAAATTATCTGAATTTATTTGTTTTAATTTGCAACGTGCTGCCGGTCGCAATAACCATACACCACGGACGACAGACACCAATACGCTCTGCTATGTCTGTTCTGTCGGTAATGAGATTCGAATAATTAAAACCTGGTATTCCAGGTGTATACAAATTGGTAATTGAAAGGTAAAAAGCAGAACGGGGATTTGGGGCTTATCCCTGCGCTACCAGATACTAATTTGTTCATTTAAGGAGCTTTTTAAGGAAAGGTGCTGTCAGTTCAACTTGAGGTCTGCCTTTAAATAAATGTCAGCACCTTCACAGCCAGGTCAGAACAAAAAGACTGTGGGTGCATGACAGTCATCGATGTCAGGTTTGACTTCTTTTTTTACAGCCACTGGGGTTCGGTTGTCGTGTTTGTCTCCGCTGATGGTGAGATCAGGACTTTAATCGATATAGAGCCTGTTTTCCCTCTTGGGTAGAAGGGGGGGCTCGTATGATGGCTAACTTTCTAACAGTATCAGTAGCCTACGTACCACAAATATTTGTAAGATGAAGTGTCGGATACGTGTTTGAAGACTAATCTTTTCATGCGATAAATGCCAGATTTCTGCGTCTGTGAGAGACACATGACTGCTGTCTTCCTGTGCAAGACTTCAGAGACGTTCTTGGGAAAGTGCGTCAGTTAACGCAAACACTAATTTTTTTTTTGTGGAAAGCCTAGCAAATTATGAAGGACTCACAGACTGTCAGCAGTATGAACCGTAATCACTAAAGTAGAAACAAAGTTCAGCCTTCTTTTCATAAACCAGAATTAAATTTATTGCGCTATCCCCTAGGAATAAACACAGATTAGTGTATTTATATTAAGCAGCGACGTTTAGTATTTTCTGGTGAGGAATGTGTAGCGTCACCGGCTTCCGCGCGCTTGTGTTGATGTGGCTCATGATCGTTCACAGTAGACACTATATGGTCTCTGAGTGCATCTTAGGTCCTTAGAGACGCATGCGAATTTATAGTAAATTGTCTTGTGCCAAGTGTCAAGCGCTCATTTTCGTGCACAAAATGCATTCTGTGCCACAAAAAAAAACATTATTTCCTGACGAAATCAACCATTTTGTGGACGAAACGCGTTTCTTGGTGCCTTTCCTGACTCAGCAAAAGACGAAACGCGTTTCTTGGTGCCTTTCCTGACTCAGCAAAAGACGAAATGCGTGTCCTGGGTCTACAAAAGCGTTGCGTTATTCCAGTTCCGTCCGTGACTGTCATTCATGGGATACATTTCGTATACAAAATGATTTACTATCACTCACGAAATGCACTGTGTACACAAAATGAATTTATTGAGTTGATAAAATGCATTTTGTGAATGACACGACGTTCTAATTGTATGAGATTGTACTGTATGACATTCTAATGTGAAAAAACAACTTGATTAGCTGAATTCTGTCTATAATATGGTCTCTGTGCGCATCTGAAGTCCTTGGAGACGCATAGGAATTTATAGTAAATTATCTTGTGCGCACAAGATTATAACTGGTGGTGAAGATGAAAGATTTAAAAAATCACCTTAAGGGACTTTAGGGGTTCAGTAAATATGCAATTTTAGTCAACAGGAGGTTTTTCAGGAACACATTACTCATGTTGTAGCAGGACTGACTACACACACACACACACACACACACACGTATGTGTGTATGTATAAACATGATATATACTGTATATATATATATATCTGTAGATATAAATGAGGCCATATAAATAGGCCAAATGTGTACAACTTCTGGTTCATGTGCATATGAATCTGCTAAGAGTTTATAAATGACTCCAGATAGAAGGCCTTGGTTACAGTCAACAGATGAGGACTGCTTCCGGGTATAATGTGTTTCTTAATGCAATAAAAGGCTTTCAGCTATTAATCCTGTAAATCCAGAAGACTGCTTGACTCTCATGTCCGTTGCCAGCTCCCCAGCTCCGTCTTTGATGCAGAATTTGTGGATAATTATTGACCTCGTTCCGAATGAAATTCTGCTCGGTTTTTATTGCATGAGTCAAAAAGTTCATTCCCTCTGAAATGTAATGCATTGTGTTATGACTCTCATTGACGTCCAGATGACTGCTAGAAAAGGAATTTAAAAAGTAACACTTCTGTGAAATGTATTAAGGCACTGGGGTCATTCTTATTACAGTGCAATCTCGAAACGCTTACCAAGTACATTTGGAAAATGACGCATAGCAAAATAAATTCAAATAAAATCCTCCCTTGCAATGCAACATGTGCTCCCTTTCTCATAATATAGAGAACTCTTTCCCTTTCAGTCTAGGCTATTGGTTTGTTTGGATTCATAAATTAACTCAGAGATTCAAAGTAGGAAATGAATGTGAAACTACAAAATTGAAGTGTGTATAAAATGTGATAACTGTGATATTAGTATGTCACAGATAACTGTGATATTAGTATCACTGGAGCAAGCAATGAGATTGTGAGTTTAAAATGTGGTTTAAGGATCTTATAATGGCTCTGGTTGCATGTTTAACTAAGAAATTACGATATGATCCCCATCTCATGTACCTTCTTTGCTCTCCAGCTAATCATACTTTTCAAGTTGGCTGTCGTGTCTTAAAGATAAACATACATAAGATGTACTTCATTGAGCCCAGCGATACATTCTTTCACATACAGCAGTGAGAAGTTTACAGATGCAAACATAAAGTGCAAGGTACAGTCAATAGGCTTTTTCAAACTGCAAGAACTTTTTTTTTCTGGAACCAGAACATTTTTCCGGAACCAGGGACTTTTGTCATGTTCACACTGCAGGAACTCGGCCCAATTGTAGTTCCTACTCCTGGCTAGGTATATTTTCATTCAAACACAAACTACTGGGGAGACAGTTACAGCCATAGCTTGCTGATTGGTTGGCGCTTACAGCCATAGCTTGCTGATTGGTTGGCGCTTACAGCCATAGCTTGCTGATTGGTTGGCGCTTACAGCCATAGCTTGCTGATTGGTTGACCACAAGCATCGGTGCTAACATCGAAGTTATGAGGAACAAATACTGAGCAGATGGAATTATTTTTATACCTAAATTACATTTAATACATCAATTAACACACATTTTGCATCTCCATATTTCTGTATTGGAAAATCCGATCACTAACCAAAACACTTTTGTCTAATATCGCCAGTGCTGTTGGTGAAACTTGCCAGTGCTTATTAACAGGATAATGACGCATTGTTTTTTTTTTATTCTGTGGAAAACAAAAGATTGATCTACTGTGCAGATTTAGTTAGAATCTTGAACATGTCATGGGTCATATAATTAAAACATTGTGGTGCAAAGATTGGCCAAGGCATCATTCTGTCATCATGAGGCAAAAGGCAGCATGAATAAACCACAAGGAGGCGTTTACTGCGCCTGTACCGTTCATCCTCACAACTTGCACACACACTGCCCACTGTGCAGGTCGCCCCGAGTATCTACACCACCCACCGCAGGCCCACGCGCACCACTGATTACAACACAACATTAAACCCAATACGTGACATACTCTACAGCACAATGACAACACAATAGATGACTACTACACAAAGCCATTTACATTATTTACCGGGCTGGCACTGGACCAGCATGTTGCAATGCCCATCGGATCCAGCCAGCGCTACAAAATAAATAAAAGGCTCTGTCCTGTTTTGATCGCAATTGATCCTCCAGATAACTAACAATTAACTAACAAAACGGCGTATTTATCCTCCGTCGTTTTGGCGTGGCCAGGTAGTTTAGGTTCGTATGAAATTACATGTGAAGTTTAAGCTATGATTTTTTTATGGCTCTCGTGCTTATGTAGCATAAAGGTCCCGGTTCTTGGTGTGCGGAGTGAAAGCGACGCACGAAGGCGGCCAGGAGCTACAGAAGTACCAGGTCATCAGAGGCCAGGGACTTGTAAACCCGGACCAAGTTCCAGAACTAAGGTGTGAAAGTGCCTAAAGTGCAAAACGCATAGTGCAGAAAAGTGAACAGTGCGCACTATGATCTTGCAATTGTTAGTGTTGTAGCACCGGTGATGACATATACCACATGCAAGGCAGTAAAAATGTTGGTAACTCGATGAGTGTTGGCATCATAAATCATGCACTGACCCTGCCTGCAAGTGCTTTTTGTCTCGATCTGCCTTCGGTTTGCTGCTGTTTGACTCTGTGGCTTTGTGATCCTCGCCTAGCTACTGCCGACTGGCTTTCAAACATCACCGGAGTCCTTGCTGGATGCGGCTGCTAGTTCATTATTTCAGCTCGCAGGAAGCTTCCCAGACCACAGATCCGACTGAATGTGGCAGATATCAAGTGGTCATTACGGAGCTTCGGTGTGATATAAAAGGCAGCTGTGGTGTAAATAAGCATT